CTCCACTTTTTGCCCTCACACCCTCACCTCCTTTGCCCCCTCCTCTGGGCTCCTGACTATTTCTGCAGCATTTCTACTGCTACTCCATAGCCCCTTCTTACTGTTGTCTTTTAGCCACACCCCTGATCTTCTGGCAGGAGAGATCTGCACCTAGCCTTTTCGGACAAGGGCGAAAAATCTCGGAGGTCCCGTCTAAAAACGACAAAGCAGGCTTCAGCTGCCACCCGGGCAAAATTTAAAAAATGTCCTACAAGCTGAACATGTTTAATGTGTCCCGCGCGCTCATATGACATTATTAATATGCTGTTGCGAGTGCCGTAAAACACTATCTCCCTCAAACAAAAGCAAGAAAAAACCACAGTGTTATTCAGTTCTAAGGCGCAGAGCGTGAGCTGACTGAAAGGTAAGAGAACATTGCGAAGAGGAAAGAAAACGAAAAGTAATTCAAGACACCCGCTCCCTACTACTATGGAATCGAACTCGGGTCTGCTGTGTGCGACAACAAAGCGCCTAACCGCTACACCACAGCAGCATCTGATGCCGGTCCTGACTTTTGCTATCGAGTAAGTGAAAGTTCAGACATCACACGGGATTGACTGACACGCGAGGAGGACCAGGGTATTTCAGACATCTGGAAAGGTCAACATCCCCAGATCACGTGTTGATACACACATTGACATGCATTCATAGTAGCATGGCTGTCGCATACAATCCATTAAGTCCAAATTTGGGAATTTTTTGGGTGGTGGTTGGCGGGTGCTCTGGTGTGGTTTGCTTCTTCTTTCCTATCGAACATCTATTGTCCTTATCCTTCCTTCTTTTTTTATGTTTGTTACTCTCTTGTAACCCCTCTAATTTTCTGGCGCTTATTTGACCTTAAGCAGTTGCGAGCGCTGTAAAACTTCTACTAAATCTAAAACTGGGAATTTTTTTTTAATATCTTTACGCTTTACAACCTCTCAGAGTTCTATAAAAGATGCACATTTCAACATCGCCAAAAATGAGGTTTAATAATGCTTTGCTCTAGGCTTTCAATTGTCTTGCTTTTCGTGATTCCTGATCGAAACAACACCAAAAAATCTAGCCTGTT